ATTGAGATTTTCTGAGTCAAAACATGGTACAGGGTTCTTTGGTGGTTTGCAGTCTTAAGGTAGTAGTTTAAACATGATGGGAAGTGAATGTTGGGAGCATTTTGAGAATAAATACCTATTACTCATTTATTTCACATGTTCAGCTCTTCCTTTGGGAACCTCAGAATGGCTTACACGAAGTTCCTATGAAGTTTACCACCCAAGCAATGATGAGGCTAACATCTATTTAGTTTTTAACAACAAAAACTTGAGACTTGCTAGTTCAAATCATGTGGTCCAACACTGTTTGTAATAGTAGCCAACTAGATGCCTCCACAAAGCGTATAAACAAACAATGATGAATGCTCCCTCATTGTATGTTCTCAGCGTGTGGAAGTCAGAAGTACATGGCTTTTGAACATGAGGCTGCATTTTGCTGTTACGGATAACACTCACTAATACCTTCTCCATCCACCTACCAAATGCCATCCATGAAGGCATGACTGGGTGGGCCAAAAGTAGCCATATATTCCATACCATGATCAGACCAGTTCAATTGAGAATCTCCTCCCTGATGAACATTTTATATTGAAATTTGTCATTTTGTATTAGATATTTATTGAAGTCTAGCAACAAGACTGGGACAGTAGGAATAAACAGTAAACACAGGATCTCTTAATTATGCTCGCAAATTTTGTGAGGGACAATGTTGCTTCAGTGGTATACAGTACAACTTTGGTGAGTACCCTGAGACATCAGTTTGGAGAATGAAGGGGTAACTCTCAGACCAGAAGCCCCGGGCTGTAGTGCCTTCATGGACCTGGGATAGGAACCCCTTGAGAGGTGCCACTGTCGTTGATCCATAGACCTCACAGCTAGGGGGACTAGACGTGGCACACCTCCCTTGAGCGCTAAGAAAGGCTTGGCAAGGAGGAGCATGAGCTGTATCCACATGATGGCTCAGGGCTCCAAACCAGGATGGCCTCACCCATAAGATCAGAGATGCACAAAACAGAGGAGGCCTGCTCTTCTGCATCCCACCAATTTCCACACTGCAGTCAGCTCTGGAATGAGTTTTTGGCCTGTGTGAGCTGAAGATCCCTCTTGAGCAATGAAAATTGTGCCCAATCACCTTGGTTGCCCTACTGTGTACCTTTTCTAATTCTGTAATGTGTTTTTGGAGATATGGTAACCAGAACTGCACACAGTATTCCAAATGAGGGTGCACCATTACAAGAACAATAAAATACTAGCTGTTTATTCTGTATCTCTTTGAAAATCAATAAAAATCTTATATTTTTAAAAAAATACTAGCTGTTTTGTTTTCAATCCCTTTCCTTAGACTAACAGTACAACAACAGGTTGCAAGGACACTGAAACCTAAGAGTCTGTAACCAAAAAATAAACAAACAATGTACAATACAAGGGTCCATAAAACGATGAAAGGCACCATAAAAATACAAGTACAAGCTCCCTACAAAACCCACAAGAATTATTATACACATTATCTCATACTGCTTCATATGGTTCTTTTAAGATCAGTCCCACTCCCAGGCTGCAATCCTGCACAAACTTACTTGAGAATACATTCAAATGAACTGAGGCAGAACTCACTAAAGGTAAAGATGCATAGGATCTGGCTGTGCATTTCTTTATTGTTATGCTGTTCACATGAACTGTAATTGATCTGGCCGAATTGGCTAATTACTGGCCGGTTTCCAACTTGCCCTATTTGGGCAAGCTAACTGAGAGGGCCATGGCAGTCCAGTTACAGAGCTTCTTGGATGACACTTCCAACTTAGATCCCTACTGGTCCAGTTTTCACCTGGGACATGGGACAGAGACAGCACTGGTTGCCCTGATAGATGACCTTCGTAGGCATCTGGATCAAGGCAGATCACTGCAGTGCTCTTGTTGTTGGACCTGACAGCAGTGTTCGACATGGTCGACCATCAGCTACTGATTCACCGCCTCACCAACTCTGGAGTACAGGAGTTTGCCTTGCAATGGCTCACATTCTTCCTTCAAGGTCAGGGACAGAGGGTGGCACTAGGGGAACAGCTGTCCCAAAGGCACCCACTGATTTGTGGGGTGCCTCAAGGGACAGTGCTTTCCCCAATGTTATTCAACATCTATATGCGCCCCCTTGCCCAGATTGCCCAGAGGTATGGGCTGGGGTGTCACCAATATGCGGATGATGTCCAGCTCTATCTGTTGTTGGGTGGCCTGTCTAACTGTACGCCAGAAGATCTGGACAGCTGTGTCTGGCTGGCTTAGACTGAGCTGACTGAAACTGAATCTGATGAAGACGGAGGTCCTGTGCCTGAACCGGAGTGGCCTGAGGGTAGGGATCCCACTCCCGAACTTCGATGGGGCACAGTTGGTGCCAGCGTTGGAGGTTAGGAGCTTGGGAGAGCTCTTGGATGCCTCTTTAAAAACAGAGGCCCAGGTAGCAGCCACAGCCAGGTTGGCCTTTTATCATCTTCGGCTGATCAGGCAGTTGGTTCCCTTCCTCGAACGCAATGACTTGGCAACAGTGATCCATGTGATGATCACCTCGAGATTAGACTACAGTAATGCTCTCTACATGGGGCTGCCCTTGTCTCAAATCCAGAAGCTACAGCTAGTGCAGAATGCTGCAGACAGGCTGCTGATGGGTCTCTCTATGTGCGAGCATATCCAGTCTGTGCTAAAAGAATTGCACTGGTTGCCAATAGCATACCGGATTTGCTTCAAGGTGCTGGTTTTGACCTTTATAGCCCTTTATGGTCAGGGTCCAGGATACCTAAGGGACCGCCTTTCACCATATGTTCCCCAGAGAGCACTGTGTTCAGGGATCCAAAATCGGCTGGCCCATCCATGCCCCAAAGATGCTAGGCTGGCAATAACCAGGGCCAGGGCCTTCTCAGTGGCGGCTCCATACTGGTGGAACAAGCTCCCGGAAGGGATCAGGGCCCTGTGGAACCTCTTACCGTTTTGCAGGGCCTGCAAGATGGAGCTTGTCCACCAGGCCTTTGATTAGGAGCTGCAGTAAACATCTGAGAAGTGACCCTGTGCCCTGACGTACAACTTACACCCTGGGTCCACCGCACATACACACGAATCAACTGAGCTGGTGTAAGAATACCATCATGACTATCACCTAAGCAATACTGTTTAATTTGAAATTTCTGCTCTCGCACTTTATTTGAACCCTGTTCCAACATTTCAGGTATTAATCTTAGTTTTATGACTGATTTTAATTGTATTTATATATGTGTTTTTATGTAAGCTGCCCTGAGGTGGGGAGGGCGGGGTATAAATTGAATAAATCTCTCCTTATATATAAAAGCCTTTTGGTGGTGGCACTCTCCAGAACATTCCACATGCTCCCGAATTGGTTGGCGCCCTGGTGTGTCACTCAGAATCTGTCCCTATCCACAGGCTGCATTGCAGGAGTCTCGCCTCCAACATTCTAAACAGTTTGCTGTTCCTCTCCCTCCCATAGCCAGTCAGAACACAGAGGTTATTTGCATATGCAGCCTCATTGGCCTTTGCCTTGGAACACAGAGGTCGTGCATATGCGGCTTGACTGGCCTTTGCCTCTAACATTCTAAGCCTCTAACATTCTAAACAGTTTGCTGTTGCTGTTCTGAGGTAAAATGTGTTCTGAGGTAAAATACATTTCCCCTTTGTGCCTGTTGTTGCCAATCTCCAGGTGAGGACTGGAGATAACTCAGAATTACAACTGCTTTCCAGATGGCAGAGATCAGTTCCTCTGGAGAAAATGGTGGACTCTGTGTCCTTATATCCTGCTGAGATGGCCCCCGTATAACAGCCAGTGTGACGTTGCAGTCAGGGCTTCAGAGCACAGTAGAGGCTGCAGGTGTGTGGGGAGTGGAAAGCTGAAGAGTGAGGGGGAAATAAAGGTAGGTTGATTGGCTGAGAAGGCGATTGGGTTGCCAACTCCAGGTGGGAAATTCCTGGAGATGTGAGGGATGCAGCCTGGAAAGGGTGAGGTTTCAGGAGGCGTGGGACCTTGGACAGGTACAAAGCCATAGACTCTATCCTCCAAACCAGCCATTCCCTTCTGGGGAACCATTGTTGCCAATCTCCAGTTGGGGGCTGGAGATCACTCAGAATTACAACTGCTCTCCAGAAGAGAGGGGGGAGGAGATGGAAAGCTGAAGTCAGAGGGGCAGATAAAAGTAGGTTGATGTTTGGCTGGGAAGGAGATAGGGTTGCCAACTCCAGGTTGGGAAATTATTGGAGATTTGAGGGGAGGAGCCTGGAGAGGGTGGGGTTTGAGGAGGGGTGGGACCTCAGACAGGTACAATGCCATAGACTCCACCCTCCAAACCAGCCATTCCCTCCTGGGGAACCATTGTTGCCAATCTCCAGGTGAGGACTGGCGATCACTCAAAATTACAACTGTTCTTCAGGTGGCAGAGATCAGTTCCTCTGGAGAAAATGGTGGACGATGTCATTATACCTTGCTGAGGTCGCCACAGCAAATTGACACTGAGTGCCAAAGGCCGGGGCACCTGCCCAGAGCCTCTTTCTAGAGCTCATTGTATTTATTTCCACAATGAGCCTTATTCCTAGTAAACAAACAAACAAACAACAATCATACACTCAGGTTGCCAACCTCCAGATGCGCCTGGAGATTTCCCAAAATTACAACTGATCTCCAGAATACAGAGATCAATTCTCCTGGAGAGCATGGCTGCCTTGGAGAGTGAATTTTATGGCATTATATCTCACTGAGCTCTCTCTCCTTCCAAATCTCCAGGAATTTCCCAACCTGGAGTTGGGCAACCTTACACAACACATCACACCACTGGATGTGCTGTTTTTTCCTCATAAACTTAAACTGCATTTATTAGAATCACAATACAGTTAACTAAACATTGTTGTTTTATATCTGTAGATATCAAAAGCTGATCTGCCCAGACTTTTTGTTCTAAGTTTGCAGCATTAGGCATGCTGAAAACAGTTCAAGCACTTTGATTTTCAGTAAGGAAGAGAGACAAGGTACATACCTGCAGGCAGTTGAAAATGACAAAGAAGACCAATATCCATAGATGCCTGTAAGCCATGTGCAGTCCTCCCCAGAACCATGTAATGGAAATGAGGCCAAAGAGGTATAAAATCAGGGGGATCTCTAGAAACCATAATAACAGGGATGTGTGTGAGTAGATACGGTTGTAAAAACAGCAGCCAGCTTTATTCATTTATAAAACGTTTCACGTTCTCATATCAGACTATTTTATGCATAAATTTGAAGGTAGTGATAACTAAGCACATTCCTGAATATGACTGTTCCGGCACTTTTAAGAGAGGGGGGGGCAGGAGAGCTAGAGCACCATCTGCTGACCAATTCATCCAAAAGGCTGGAGAGCAGATATGAAGAGGCATTTCTGCTAGCAAGTTGTTGTTGTTCAGTCGCACAGTCGAGTCCGACTCTTTGCAACCCCATGGACCAGATCACGCCAGGCTAGCAAGTAGTGGGAAGCAAAGAGATACACTAATGATACAGTGCATTTGTTGGTGTGTGTGTATGTGTGAAAGAGAGGGTGGGGAGAAAGTGTGTTTTAGCCTCTGCAAAAATAGTAAAGGGGGGGAGAGGGAGGGAGGGAGGGAGAAAGCGTGTTTTAGCCTCCGCAAAAATAGTGAAGGGACCAAGTGTAAGACATGCTGAACCAGCAAATTCCAAAGAAGCTTTCCAAAGCCGTCAAGAGCTGATGACGGCATGGCCAGATTTTGTCCAGAAAACAAAAATCCAAATAAAACAAGTCACATTCAGATGAGCAAATGACATTTCTTAAATTGAATTTTAAAAAAATGAAGCCAAGTAATACCAGGTTGATCTTTGATATTGACATTGCTCACAATGAATTTCAAAGTCTGTATTTGCTCAGGTTTGTACATTTCAAATGGTGCAAGTGTTCTGCAAAACACTGACCTTTTGCCACCTTGAATTAACACTAGTTCAGCAAAACTGACAAACAAGCAAAGAAAACTGCACTACAATTGTAAACAGGATTGCATCCTTCTGTGGCTTCATAGGGTGCAACTGTTCAGGATTGCCCTGTAAGCACGAGGACGGCAGAAGCTGATCCAGCCTTCCAAGCTCCTGTAACCACCCTTGACGCAAAAGATAAATCATCTCTATTGAGCTAATAGCATGGAGAGCTTCTAAAAAGGCAAGCAGGAGTTGCTTCAAGGGTTTAAGTGTAATTGCTTTCATCATCATCATGGCAATGGTATCTGTTAAAAAAAATCAATGTTTATTCTGTTCACAAGTCAGGAACTGCTTGAAACAGAACAAATGTAGGCAAGTGGTATGCTCTACAGGTTCCTCCACCTAGGCTCTTATTGAGCACCAGAAGGATTTCAAACCTGATTTTAATAAGTGCAAGATTAAATTGATGGTATCACATTGTGCCTCATGCAACGAGGCATGGCGGCCATTCAGCTGTTCTTCACCAGGCTTATACTGCAGATTCAACAGCCTTATCATGTAAACTCAGTGGCAACCAAGATTCTTGAAAACAACCCTAGTTAACATAATGTATGTTATGACCCTGTTTATAAGTGGACTGTAATAGCAGAGTGGAATGTACAGTCACAACTTAAGAAGATTAATGACAGAGAACCCAATACCCAAGTAGCAACACTCCATATCACAGATTCTCTGCTTCAGTGCTGTAGGAGACATCCTTTCTGCCTGGCTACTCACTGCCGGAATTCATGGCAGGAAGCATGGAAACTGCCAGATGACACCCAAGTGTCCTGCTGTGAACGTCAACTTTTGAAGGTTGTGTGATACGTACTTTATGCTGACTCAGACCTTTGATCCATCTAGCCTGCTAGAGTTTACCCTGACTGATAGTATGTCTCCAAGGTTTTAGATAGATGTTTGGTTCATGCTAATGAGAGAAATCTTCAACTGGACTTGGTCAGGTTTAAATATGAAACTTTATCTAAACCATATTTTACTGCCATCTTTGCTGAAAATTGCCTGTACTGACTAGATCGCTGAAATCTCAGAATCTTAACCTGGCCGGGATGTTGCACTAGATGGACCAATGATCTAATCCAGCAGGGCTCTTCTTATGTTCATTTGATCCAAATCCCTATTTGCTAGCAGCCTGTTTGCCAATCTACTCAATTTCCTTCATCTGGAGTCCATCACACAAGGGGAACAAGTTGAGGATTCCAGACGTCTCTGATCACCATATTGGGGACTCCCACTTTGAAATGTTAATCCATATGACTTCATCATGTGTAATGCCTTCTTGGGAGGGAAATTGAGAATTTTTGCCAATAAAGGAGTATTCTCTGTATAAAGACATCAAACAGAACTATCCTAAACAGGTCAATTATACTTAGGATTGCATTCTACAATTAAGAAGGGTACATCTGCCCATCAATCTCCAATTTTGATATATTTATTTCCTTCACTATGTTTTCCCCTGGAATTAACCCAAACAAATGGTAACCATATAAACTAAGCTTGTTATTCCTTTTTGGTCCTTGAATCTGTTAAACATCTTCCTTACATTGTATGCTAATTTGCTGCTCATCCTCTACTTATATATATGGACTGGTAACTTCCATTTCAGTGTATCTGAAGAAGAGTGCATGCACACGAAAGCTTATACCTTGAATAAAACTTTGTTGGTCTTAAAGGTGCCACTGGACTCGAATTTAGTTCTGCTGCTTCAAACCAACATGGCTACCCACCTGAGTCTATCTTTAGGATTGCTGACAAGTTCATTTCTCTTTCTGCCTCCTAAGTCTCTCTTCCTGATGCCCAGGTAAATTGTATGTTTACCTGGAGCAGCTGGAACACAGATAGCATGAGACTGACACTATTATGAAAACTTTTAAAATTGCCTGTATACAAGGAACTCCTGCCAAACTGAAAATTTTGAGAACCCCATCTTATATCCCAATTTACTTAAGGCATTTGCCTAAAGAACTTTGTATTTGTAATGACTTTTATCTTATTTTAAAAATATTTTCTTATGTTTATATACTATGTGAATTTTAATTTCCTTTAAAATAAGCCAGCTTTTCTTTTCAGTTGCAATACCAACTGTCTACTGACCTTACCACTTTGTGCCATGTTTCTGATACACAGTATTGATCAACAGATAATGGGGAAGAGATTGTAAGGAGATTTAAGTAATTTCTGGCAACCTGGTAACAACCAGAGTGATACCAGAACTATCCAATTTGTGAGGTTTTGCACTGGGGGCGGAGGGAATGGCTCACATTCAAGTAAGAAGACGAGAAGAGGAGAAAAGCAGCTTCTATGATAACTGCCACCCTTATCTAATGAGCTGGTTACTCCTAAGGCAATCTTCAGTACAGCTTTCTGAAATTCATCTTTGCATGACTTCCATTGCTTTATGGTAAACCCTTTTAGCATATAAGGATCATTGTAAGAGTACTATTCATTTAATATAGCCCACATTCTCATCATACGAGCTCCCAAGGAGGCCACCACTCAGGGATCCTGTACTTGTGGAGGCAGCTTTCTTCACCTTTCCCTTCCCAAGGCACCTCCAATGAGTCCTGGAAATTTGATTCTAGGACTTCATGGCATTTTCATGGGCAAAATGCCACGCAACATGGAGGGCTGCAGTTAGGAGGACTGGGGAAAGAAAAAGGTAGGAAAGATCTGCCTCTGCATACACAATTTGTACAATATCTGTGCCACAATGAAAACACATGCATGAGTGGCCATCTAATTGAAAAGAGGTTCTTGCAAGTGAAGAAGCATCATGACTAGGAGAATGCAAAGAAAAAAAATATTTGTTATTATTCGGATTTTGGATTCTCTGATCCGAATACATTTAGCATACCCCAATATCCCCAAATATCAAGATCAGTATGGACCCTATTTGGGAAATATCTGGGATTCCTGAATCTATTCGGCTCCATTATACCCTATGGGGCCACTGTAGTCAATGGCAAATTTCTCCTAGGGTGTATTCAGGGGCCTGGGGGGGGGGGGGGGGCGGGGGTTGGGGGTCGGGGACAAATGCACCAAATTTGCAGTGTAGCTGCTGGAGTCTCTGCCCAAAAGAACCCCCAAGTCTCAAAAAGATGGACCAGGGGGTCCAATTCTAGAGGCACTCAAAAAGGGCGCCCCCATCCCACCATTGTTTCCAATAGCTTGTGCTATTTTCCAATGGTGGGGAAAATAGCACAAGCCCAGCAAAGAAGAGAATCTCCCAAAGAATCTCTGCAGTAGAAAGTGAAGTTTTTTGGGGGGGGTATTGTTTGCTATGCCAGCAGCAGAACCCTGAAGAACCAGTGCCACTGTGGCACTGCCAAGAAACCAAATGGACTAAGGTTAAATGTGAGAATATCAGAAGTACAAACTGAAGGGCAGCATTTCTCCAAGGAACCCCCCCCCCCGGCCCCTGAATATACTCTAGGAGAGATTTGCCATTGACTACAATGGCCCCATAGGGTATAATGGAGCCGAATAAATTTGGGAATCCTATATCTATTTGGGATTCTCTAATTGGCTGCCAAATACACATTAGAGAATCACATTTGGCTAAATATGTGCTCGAATAATGTCAATAAAGCCTTATTCAGGTATATATTTGGCTCAGCTTCTGCCAAATGCACACCCTTAATAATCACCTGGCTCTTCCTTCATGGCATAACCCACTAGGACTGCCCCCTGCCCCTGCCCAACTGAAATGAATGGGCACCATGTAAAATAAAGGATGTATTTATTTTTGCCTAGTTTCCCTTCATTTCAATGAGAACAAAGCCAGAGATGTTTTCCATGAATGTGCATTTTCCATCACAGAGCAGCTATTAGTGAACTATTTCAGACTTGAAGTTAGCATGCAAACATTTTTCTTGCATTTTTGTCTTTAAATGTGACTGCTTTATAGTGCCAATTATGCTTTTAATGAACCTCAGCTATTGTCCTGTGAAATAAGAAATTAATACAACACACTGAAAGCAATTATGATGCACTAGTGTGTAAAAGCTTCTTTTAAAAAAATAATTGAACTTACAGAGCAAAACAATATTGAAAAATGTGACCTGTCTTTTTCATAATAGCTATTTTTTGCGGGTGGGGGATATTGAAATTATTATACCTAGATATAACAGGAAAGATGGATT